GCTTGTATGTGTAAAACAGAACTAAGAAATCTTCAGAGTCTGTTTGGATTAAGAGAACCAGCCGTTTGCCTAGTACACTCTTATTTGTCACTACATAACACACTAAATAATATTGCAAGTTTTATTAAGGATTATTTTAAGCGTGGTTTCAATAGAGTGTCGTAAAACCAAAGCCAAAACAATCAGTCTGACCAATCACACAGGACACAGACAATCCAGTGAACCAATCAAAGGTTGAAGCAAATACCTGTAGCTGACGCGAAGCGCGGGAAAACGTGTGTGAGCAAATCACAATTGGTTTTGGTTTTACTTCTGATTAGTTGAGAAAGTGACGCGAGTTTTATAAGCCAATCGCTTAACGTAGTAACGTAGTTATAAAAATCCAAAGCAGGTATCGACACTTAAGTGAAACTTGCTCTTCGTTGTGCTTTGTAGTATCACCTAAATGTCAAACCTTATTAACTGACCTTGTTTGAGACACTGTTTGGAAGAGGATGGTTTGTAACCTCAATACCGTAAGATGAATCGCCCATTTGATCTGTCAGCAGAATGTTAGACATTGCACTCAGGGCCTCTGCTATAGTGTGAAACGCCTGTGAAGACAATGAATATAAACCATTATAACTGAAAGGCGTACTTCCTGGAAATATCACACTTTTAGTACGTTACGTAGGGACAATGGAGTGCTAATGTCTATAACACAATGAATGTACATCATGATTCTGGCAATTAATGATTGAAGTCTTCCTGAGGCACACCTCTTTTAAAGAGCATCTAATCTGATAAATAAACTAATACATACATACTTTATTTATTCTAGAAGCATACTAGATTTACAATAAAAAACTAAAAACAAGGGAAAAAGAAAGATGCCCCTAGAAAAGGAAGTTAAGAGGTTATCCCTTTGTGAGAACTCCCTCTAAAAAAGTGCAGCTAATAGTAGTAGACTCCGTTTTTATCAATAAGCTTGAAAGCAAATGAACTTGAAGGTTTTCGAGTCAGCCTTCACCTTTGCCATGTCTATTTGCAAAACAGGAGGAAGATCTAAAGGAAGAATTTACAGATTAACTTCTGTCCAATTCAAGCTTGTCTTATATAGCATCTCTGCTTGTTATTTTTACAGTCATATTTACCTCGTTACTGTACCAAACTGTGTTCTCTGTGGTCTCCTGGGTCTTGTTAGCTAGTCCAGTGTTGTTCGACATGTTTGAGGGTTTAGCCATTGGCATGGAGGTCGTGGGAGCAAGCGAGAAACCAGCAACGTACACATTGAAGTAATTGGAGGCATTACTCTTTTCCAACACGTACTGAGAGAAGTAAGTATTGAGGTCTGTCAGATCTGTGCCCGGACAACCCACTGCTGAACATTTCTCATCGTCGATTTTTTCATCAGGACTAAAAGAAAAATCAACGAAAATGAAAATCTGTCTTGAGGCTCTGTCCATGTAGTACGCTGAAAGAATGTCATGTTAGTCTGTGAAATATTCCTCGAAAGTTCTAAGGTATAGCTAGCTCCAGTAAAAATGGTCGACCAACATTAGAAGAACGGCAAACCAGGCTACATGTAAGATCTACTGCGCCATGCATCAAAGTATTGGATGAGTGAAAGCGGCGTGGTCAAGTGGTTTAGGTCGCTGGATTTGAAATCTGGAGGTCCGTGGTAGAAATCCTCTACCTTGTCGCTATCTGGATTTGTTCTCGGTAGTCCCGAGTTCAACTTCTCCACCGCGTTGTGTAAATAGCCAACTGGTTAGCTCCCACCAGTTAGGAATCGTAATAGTTTATGTTCTATTTGCAATATTTCTTCAAATACTTACAGCGTCCCCAGTTAGCACAACAGTATTAGATACACTTGACACTAACTAAAGTTTTTGTTGTTGTTGTTATTAATTGGTGAAGTGTTATCCCAGCCTGCACTGAGAGCTAAACTGCTACCAAAAACGAATTGCTAAGCTCGTCGATATTTACTTAATTAAATATTCATTTAACTTCATTAGGTACATGCACTTTACATTAAGTACGTACACTTTACATTAGGTACACACACTTTACTTAGGTACATACAGTCTAGCTTGGATGCATTTGGGACAGTCATTGTAACCAAAGTTGTAATCTGTACAGTTGTCCGGTGACAGATCCTCGCTGATAAACTGAGAGATGAAAATTTTAAACGTCTAATGTGATCAGTATGTCTACCATTTTGAACCAGAATATGACAAAAGTAACCAATTCAACTAATGGTGATTTTCCACATTTGTTCCAAAATAGATTCATAATTACTGCAATACCTGCACCTATCAAACATTACAAAAACCAATTCTCCAGCACTGAAATCATGGTAGTAAGAGTTGTTTTTGTCGTTGTTGCCTCAGACATGCTCAGGTACAGTCTAGCAAAATACTGGTCAAAGTACTCGGTTGGAACTGGTTTTTACAACAACTAAAACGATCAACATTATTTTTCTAACATTTTTCAAACAAACACTATTGCACTTTCAAATTTTCGTGTTGTAAATGTCGATCCTTAGTTTTGTATAATCTAGACTATATGCGGCTTATCTGTCGTTCTTAGGGACAAATATTGCAAGTTTTTGTTGACTTTATTGGCTTTCTGCTTAAACAAATGACTCACCATTTGCCTGCACTTGGCATTGAGCACAAAATACTCATAATTACAGCAGGATACGCTACTGTCATCAACCGTGGTGTAATTTTTGTTTCTAACAAAAATTCCATTGTTCCTGTTGTAATCTCGGATTTTGTAAACATTAGATGTGATGTCATCCACATTAACTTTCACGCCCTCAAGATACGTGTTGGCTTTCTGAAAAAAAGAAAGAAATACAGGGTTTCTGAGTTTGCCTAATTTCTCCTGTCAAAACAAGTGTGTGTATCAGAACGCATACTGTTTGGTGCAGTTTTGTCTACTACCCAGTCACTAACAGTCAAAAAAGTTCATCGTTTTCATCGAAAACGCATACATTTGAAAACGGCACTTTCTCGTAGAGTATCGGCATTTGAGAGCATTTTAGTGTGGACAAAGAAAACGCTGCGATAACGGTAGTTTAGTAATGTCCTCTAGGCACAAAAACACATGCATCATCGAAAACAATTTCGAAAACACACTAGAGTGGATGATGCATTAACTGGTTGCTAATACAGCCCTAAAAAAGGTGATGTTGTGCTGAATTAAAAAGGTAGAAATAACTCATCTGTATTCCAATTCGTGATTTTGATTAATTCTCACTTGAAGCATACCTTAATCGGAACGTAACATTGAAATTCAGTGTGATTTTGTTTTCCCAAACTACATGTACATGCCGTGAACACGTTCATTCGGGCACTTGCTTTCCTGTGACTAAGGCTATATGCTTTAGCATGTATCGTAATACCAAATTATGATATTTGTTGGTTCAACCAGTAAAATGGATGGGTCGTTACCTTGAAGGTTGCTGACTTTTCAGCAGAACTCAAGTTTCTGTAATCTGCAAAGAATGCTTTAGTGTAGATGTCATCCACGCTCAAGTTGGACAGCTTCAGGACACGTGGGGGGTCATTGTCTCTGGTGGGAATGGATGTTATCAGCAACAAACCAAAGAGAACCATTACAAGAGGAAGAACAAGCTGTGTGACGATTGCTTTCTTGTCGCGTTTGGAGTTCAAAAACCTCTTTATGAACATTGCTTTGTATTGGTGCCACTTCAGTTTCATGCCTGTTTCCAGTCCTAACGACGAAAACATTCAAATTACTCAGAATATTATTCTATTATCCTACTGTCTGTCCATCCATCTGTCTGCCTGTCTGTCCATCCGTCTGTCTGTCGTTCTGTCTGCACATCCGTCTGTCTCTCTGGCCATCTGTCTACAGCTGCCTATCTGTCCATCCGTTTGTCTGTCTGTCTGTCTGTCTGTCTGTTTGTCTGTCTGTCAGTCTGTCTGTCCATCCATTGGTCTGTCCATCCATTGGTCTGTCCAGCCATCTGTCTCTCTATCTGTCGGTCTGCTTGTCTGTCTATCTGTCTGTCGGTCTGTTTATCTGTCGGTCTTTCCATCCATCTGTCCATCTGTCTGTCTGTTGCCTGCCTGTCTGTCTGTCTGTCCATCCGTCTGTCTGTCTGCCTGTCTGTCCACCCGTCTGTTTGTCTGCCCGTCTCTCTGTCTGCCTATCTGTCCATCCGTCTGTCTGTCTGTCAATCCGTCTGTCTGTCTGCCGGTCTGTCTGCCTGCCTGTCTGTCTGCCTGCCTGCCCTCCTGCCTGTCTGTCTACCTGACTCTCTGTCTAGCTAACTGTATGTTCCAGTTGTGTATTCCTATATCAATCATTTCGTTGCTTTGTCCATCTCTCCCTTCGCTAATCTGTTAATTCAGTTTCTAGTATGTGCATGACAACTAGCATACTGCTTACCTCCACTCTGCATGTCTTCAGCCCCAGGTACATCAACAATCTGCTCAGTCTCATAACTAGCAACTTCATGATCCTTGGCTCTGAAAAATCAAAAACTTGAGTTACATTCACAATCCAGATGGTGCTTCTTCACAGATTATAGCTCCTGCACATGGACATAGGTTGAAATCAGGCTAGGCCATTATTTTTAGGTTTCCATTGATGAAAATGTGTCATATATATGGGTTTTGACATTTCGAAGTAATACTCATAATAGTATCTCTTTTATAGATCCAATTAGCTCAAAGGGAAACATAAAGTTGATTTGCCACGTTCATTGAATTGTGGCACAATACGTTACTAGTGCTGGCAAAAAAAAGCAAATATAGACCAGGCACAAAATTGAAAGAGTGTAAGTGTGTTAAGTGGGTAATGCTGTGTTAAACGTACAAGTCATCCACAGTTTTCTCGGCTCCTTCTCCAACCTTCATGAACACTTCCTCTAGAGTTGTGACAGATACTCCAAAACTAGTGATACCATATTCATCCATCTTATCTACAGTTTGAATAAAGAAAAAACAAATCAAAATTGTATTAATCAATCAATTAACAAACTAATGACATTACTTGCTTACTCACTTTAGTGACAATTTTCATTACAGCAAAAACCTATTATACAATACGACAGCCGTTTGCAGGTGCCTAGGAAGTTTTTTCTCATAGCTTCAGTCTGGCTAACACCTTCCCAGACCTTCTAAGTTAAGTTACATGCTGCTGACTATTCACTGAAGAAAAACTAGTGTTTGTTTTGGTTTTGTAGAGAATTCTACAAGGATTCGACAAGTTTACATCTTCTACAACTATAACTGAAGTCTTTCTAATCCTCACAAATGGTTTATGGACACTCACATACAGTAAGTAAAGAATTTGTAATAATGGTTTACGGACAATATACAAGTACATGAAAACAAACAAATCTGATCGGTGAATGCAAAGCTCTAATACGATTGAATACATGCACATAATATTACAAAGTAACTAAATTTGTATGTTTTGTATCTTGCAGGGTCCGTAACGCCACAAACCCAACAAAACAGGTAAACTGATTATTATTGAAGGTCTTTTAACTTGCAGAGTCAGAAGTGAAGTCATTTTTATTTCACTTATAAATGAACAACTAGTGTATGATCGTTTAAATGATAGCTAATTTAGCGGATAAAGTCGTTTGTACTTGTTCAACCTTAAAGGAAACAACTTTTCCTTCGTCAAGTCTAAACTTAGCACTCTTGGAAATATTTACTAATGGAAGGAAACGTTAATAATGAGATGTTTCCTTAGGAATTGCAGATGTAGATCCTTCAACTGGCCAAAATAAC